AATTAAACAAACTCAAAAAAAGAGAAGAACTTATTTCATCATGCAATACAACAAATCCAAAAGGAGAAATAAAAAATTATAACAATGTAGAGTCGTCAACTTTTTGAAGGCCATAGATAAGCCTAAATAAAATGTTCTTAACTGTATACCAGTTTAACGTTGAATATTATTTATGATTTTAATGTTAAGAAGTCAGCCTAATGAGCTAAATACAAATTCTTCTTTTTTTTTTCTTTCTTGTTCTCACCAAGACTGTGAATTTCGGATTTTTCATTTGTCACGGGTTTAGATCGATGTCAAGGAAAATATGCCCTAGACAAGGACAAACCAGACTTTACAATACACTATTATCGCCGAAATTTAACGCAAGAAGAACGAGCGCGTGCTAAGACCAAAATGTTGAGATAAGAAACGCTCAAATTACTCTATCCTGCCTTTGCAGTATTCTGGTAGACAGGATGAAAAATCGCTTTTACCTTAGTTGGTAAGAGCGCTCGTTTGTTATCACTTTGTTATACAGGGGGCGAGGGTCAAATCAAGAAAGGTGTATTAAAATTTCATCACGTCATCACTGTCACGTGCGACAAGAAATCACGAAAGCTAAGATAGCAGCACCACGTGACTGCCTAATTTGTTAATGAGCTTGCCAATATTAAGATAAGCGTCATTTTCACTGAAGGACAGACACCAGTACTCGTATCAAACGATAATAAACTGTTCTATATTTATAACATGATTAACTCAGTGAGATATTTCAATAATTTTCGACATTCTCTTAACGTGACAAAAAATGAATTGCAGTGTAGTTTTTGTACTAGACAGAGCCCAGCTACTCTGCATATAGTAACAAATGTTACATTAAAACACCTAAACAACAATAAGAACTTTTTTTCAGAGATTTTCTTTGTTTATTTTTTGTTAAGCGCAAAGCTACACAATAAGTTATTTGTGCTCAGCCCACCGTGGGAATCGAAACCCAATATTTGGCATTATAAGTCCTCTGCCTTACCTCTGAGCCACCGGGGTGGGGGGGGGGTGCTTTTCAGAGGAGAATTGAGATAGAACTCTCTTCTTCCCTGGGAATTCGTTCAGGAGTTAGTTGAAAGTTTTCGGTCAGCTGGCTATTATTATTTTTAAAGAAAAATTTGCAAAACTAAGTCGTGGTTAATGCAGCTAATGAGACTTACAGTGCACTTAATTTCTCTTAAGCCCCACTTTGCTAAACTTCAATTTCGACCAAGTTTACAGTTTCGTTAAAGAGAGTTTCTTTGGAAATTTTAAAATGTTTTGTTTTAGACCAGTAGTCTGCTGAACAGGAAACGATTGTTTGTTTGTTTGTTGTTAACCGACAAACTAAACAATGAGCTGTTTGTGCTGTGTTTACCACGGATATCGAAACCCGACTTTTAGTTTTAGTGTTATAAGCCCTCAGACTTGTCGCCGAGTCATCGGGTGTGGGTAGGGGGGACATGAAACAAACAGAGAAAGTTACAATGACTGAGTTAAAAATAAAGATAGTATGAGCTATAAGCTGTAAATGTTTAGTATTTTTATACTTTTCAAAATTTAAGTCATTTATTTGTACAGAAACATAAAATTAGTTATTTAATGAAATTCTATTTACCTAAATAATAAGAATCAGAAATTCCTCCACACACTTCCTGAACTTCCCTAGTTCCCCATCCATTGGGATAGATGGCGCCACCAACTAAAATTATAATAGCTGAAAGACAAAAGGCAAGAGTAAAGAAAACAAATCCTATAACGTTTGCGTTAATTAATCTATCTGTTGTATTCCTTGCTCTTTTCTGTACTATATACATACTTATTTCGCGTGATAGAGGTCAGAACAGTCAGAAGAATCTGTTGTAGAAAAATTATTCGTTTGTTTATTGTGCTTTCT